GGAGCCGGGCTGAGCTGCTCCTTTCCAGCCGACACGGCAGCGATAGATGTGTGATGGTCAGGCTACGGGGAGCAACACCACACCTTTCCGATGTGTCAGATGGAGATGGCTTCACAGCTTGTCCCTCCCTGCGAAAAGCTCTCGCTCAGACCCACAGAAAGCGCCTCTCCAGCCAGGGCTGAAGGCTAGCTGGCTATTTACAAAATGACCAGAAAGCAAAACCACTTGGGAATCCTTAATTCGTAAGGAAATCCAAGCACCTCTGGGGACGTACTGGGCAGGAGCAGTTGGAGGGAAAGCATGTGCCGGTTTCTGCCTTTCCCTCCCTCAATCTCCAAACATTTGGGAAGGAAAACTGAGCGGTTTGGTACAGCGGGGGCAGACAAGGTGAGGTGCAGAGAGCCCTGAGCGCCCACCAGGCGAGCACACCGCAGAGCATGGGCTCCCTTGGCCTGAGCCCCCCATCACTTCACTGCTCGCCAGCCCCGCGGTGCCGAGCACCCCCAGCCCCAGCCAGCTCCCGGGCAGCTCCCCAGGGTGCCGATTCCAGCAAAGAAGAGTTAACTCGTCTGGTTTACTGGCAAAGAAACAGAGGGGAGCATCACAAGCGCTGCACTGGGCGTTGGATCAAGCTGCAAAAAGGTGCCCAGCCCGGGAGCTGAGCTGGGACCATCTGAAACGCTGGTAAAGAGGCATCCCGGGAGGGTTCTGCGCAATGATAGCGCCCAGCCTGCAGGGAATCAGGGCTTGGAAAATACAAACGCAACATACAACGTTTGTGATTGTGCATCTGTTCGGACAGATTAAAATGTAATTCAGGACAAACCACCAGCGCCTGGAGCGCTCGGTGCTCGGCACTCATCTTCCTCCTCTGCTCACTGAGGGCGCCGAGGCCGTCTGCCCCTACCTGCTGCGGCGTTCCCCGTCCCCAGGAGACCCCCCCCTCCCACCCAGCCCTCCCACCAGCCTGGCTGGGCAGAAGCCTTCCCCAAGGATCGCTGCTGACCAGCAGACCCCTCGTCTGCAGGATCTCCTGAAGCCTCCTAAAGACCATCAATGGCAATCGTCAGGTTTCCATACAGGAACAACCTCTGCTTATTTCTGCGCTTCCATACACGGGGTCGGTTCCACATCTTTCACGCTTCTTTTTACTCTGCCTCCAGAGGTGAGAAAGCCCGACAAGCCGGTCCGCTCGGCACGACGCCCACCCTGTGCAGGGGACCGGGGAGGCACAGCCCCCCCGCAGAGCCCTCTGACACCCCAGCCAAAGCCCCGAACTCGCTGGCTCTGCCCACTGGTGTGAGAGCAAACGCGATCGTCCCCTCCTGCTCCCGGCTGGGCGCGAACGCCACGTCAGGCACATGGTGCCCAAAGGACTGTTCTGCTGAAGGTCTCACCTGGTAGGAGGTCATCAGATAGAGGTAGGTGGAATCAGACGGGTCGAACTGCATGATGGGGTGGACGGGCTCCCCGTAAGCCACCGAAATGGATCTCCTGCTAACGACCTTCATGGTGCTGTCCAGATTGATCTGCAGTGAGAAGCAGCCACTCATTGAGACCATTTCTCAAACACTATGGGGAGAAGATTATTTTTCCTTGCTATTAAACAAGAATCAAAGTGGCGTCTAACAGGGTCCCGCATTTTCAAGAGCTGTAAATCTCTGCAGGCTTCGCCAGCTGCACGCACAGAGCTGCACTGAAACGCCAGCTCCGTGCTACGGGGACGGCACCAAGCAGTCCGGGAAGGCCAGGCTGTGGCCAGGCGCAGTGCCCAGTACCGAGCAGCCCTCGCCCCCCGTTTGAGGCTGCCCGCCAAGCGTCCAGCCTGGGGCTGCACGGCTGTCCGCAGCGGCCCCCAGCAGCATCCCTCCTGCTTCACCCCAACGTAGGCGGCACCAGCCCGCAGCCCTCGTCACGTACATATGTGCATCGCTGTTACAAAGAGCGCTGCGTTTCCAAAGCCTAAGGAAAAGCAGTGAAAATCAGCAATGGGGCTGTGTAACACGGCACCCCCCACTCCTGGCATATCTGAAAAGCCAGCGGTGTCGTTCCTGGCCAAAAGCAGCTTTTGTCCCTGCTAACTCCAGAAGACCACGGCGGCCGCCGCCAACGAGCCAAATCCCCCCTC